CTGCGCGGGGTGGGGGGGGGTGGGGTGTGCAGTGGTGGGGCCTGGCCCTTTGCTGTGTACCCTGGAAGAGGGAGGAGGGGCTGTCCTGGGGGGCTCTGCCTTTAGTTCCTTAGTCTTGAACTCTACTTTCCTTTCATAGTGGGTCCTTCCATTTCCCACTTCTAGGGGGGTGGTGTGTTAAGCCAGGTGCTGTGCTTGAAGCTGGGTCCCTGTTACTTGGGAACAACCTCTAGCTTCTGACCCTGTGTGTGGTAGTGGGGGGTAGAGAGGACCAGAAATCAGAACTGGCCTGAGTGCTGGCCCCTCGTACTATTCTATACCCCCCCCCCCACACACACACACACTTTGCTGCTTGCTTTGTGGAGCTTGGACCTACTGTTCTATAAACTTCAGTGAGGAAGGGAAGTCAGAGCCATTGGTTAGGTCAAAGGCAGTTCAAGGACATCAGCCTTGGCCTTCTGCCATAGGACCCTGAGCAGAGAAAATAACTTGAAGTTGGCATAGGGTGTGACACACACACTTGACACTCCCCATTTACTGATGTCTTCCCTCTTTATCTGCATGCCCTTGTGACCTAAGAGGGTTATGTTCCTCTAAAGTTTGGGCCCTCCAGCTAGGTGAGTGGTTTCATGGCAGAGCCACTGCCCTGGCTACATGGTGGGTACAGGGCTGCCTGGCCTTCATTGTCCCTTTTGAAGAAGTCCCAGTTGTGAGTGTATGGGTATCCCTGCCGAGTAACTATTCGACAAGCATTTCTGGCACCATCGTGAAACAACACAATGGGAGGTGGCAGTGCCCCTAGATTTTGGAGCTGTGAATTCAAAGGCTCTGTCTGTTGAAACTGGTTTGGACAGAGTTTGCCATATTGCTCTATTCACAATACACCATAGATGTAGAGACCACCAAGAAACCCACACTGTGTAAGGAGGGGAACCTGGGGCCAGGGACAAGTGCTAATCCAGGAAGGAAGGGCTAGTTTTAGACTGTTGGAGGAAGCAGAGCCCCCCTGCAACCCAGGCAACTGAGAGAAGCCAAGGGCAAGCAAGCTCAGTATCATGGGCCCCACAAGGGGCCGAGGCAGGAGAAGCTTGGGGGACTGGAGATCCAGTGTCAAATGGATTGGAAGGAAAGGCAAAGGTGGGGCTCCTGAAGACAGGAAAGGAATGTCTGGAGAATGGAGAGTTTTTAAGAGCTCAGGCCTGGGGGCAGGGGGACACATCTTTGGGAGGCAGAGGCAGGAGACCTCATTGAGTTTGAAGGCCAGCCTGGTCTACAGTGCAAGTTCCAGGACAGCCTCCAAAGCCACAGAGAAACCCTGTCTCAACCCCCTCCCCCCAAAAAAAAAAAATCAAAACAAAAAGCTCAGGACTGGGTTCGCTGTCCCTCAGGTAGGGTACACAGCTGCCTGTGGCTCAGGTTCTAGGCTTCCAATGCCCTCTTCTGGTCTCTGTAGGGCCCTACACACAAAACGCATATACCTACTTTTTTTTTTTTAACTGAAGAAGGTACAAATTGGCATGGAATGCTGGTAGTTCTTTCAGGAAATTGTTTTTTACTGATGGACCAACCAGCTGATGGGCGGGTGACTTGGAGGAACAGAGTTGAGTCCTATGTGTCAGATGTGTGGTCTGTGTACACACCAGCTCAGATTAGTTTCCTGCCCCGGGCTGACAGCAACTACAATATTCCCTGGCAGGATTAACTCAGGAAACTAGTCCTGATTCCACTAAACAAGTACCCAGGCAACATTAACCAGAGTGACAGGAAAGACTCAAGGTCCAAGTCAGTGATGTTGCATTAGGGAAAGTAGACACAAGCCAGTCACTTCCCAGGAGTTCCCAGGAATGGACGGACAGTGTGGGCTGCCACCTCGGCCCAGAGCTGAACTGGGACAAATGTGTCCTGAGTTGCTGTTTTGTGCATGCCTGACTGCAGGTTCCTCTGTCCTCTCAGAAGATCACACCCACAGGCTTGGTGTTTGTATTGACATCTGAGTAATCTCAAATATAGGTGGGTGTTTTCCATTTTTGTCAATTATGTAAAGTACAAAAAGGGTTCAATAAAACCTTACACAACTGGGCATTGGTGGCACACGCACTCGGGAGGCAGAGGCAGCAGGATCTCTGTGAGCTCGAGACCAGCCTGGTCTACAAGAGCTAGTTCCAGGACAGCCTCCAAAGCCACAGAAAAACCCTTTCTTGGAAAAACCAAAAAAACAAAACCTTACACAGTTTTATGATCAAGAAGTCAGAATAGCTGGGGGAGAAACAGGTAAAGTAGTTGTATAACCATGAACCCCAGAACCCCCGTAAGAAAAGGCTGGTGTGGTGGTGTGTGCTTACAGTCCCCACACAAGGGAAGACAGGTCCTGGATGGCCTGGCCTTATAGGTGAGTTTCATGCCAAGGAGAGGCTCTGTCAAAAAAAAAAAAAAAAAAGGTCATGGTGGCATAAATGAACACCTGAGGAATGACACCCAAGGTAGCTAGCTACAGGATGAGAATGTTTACAAGAACTTAACATATACTAACCCAGATAAGTTCCAGAAGTTTTATCTTGAGCTAAATATCTCAAATATAGGTGGGTATTTTCCATTTAGAGATCTTAGATGGCCATGGCTAGAGAGATGGCTCAGCGATTAAACTATCAGTTACTCACAGCTGTAACCAGTTCCAGGCATCCAGCACCCTCTCCTGGCCTCCACAAGCACCAGGCCTTCAAGCAGGCAAAACACCCATTTACAAAATTTTAAGTATGGCAGTCAGGACAATCCATGTTGGTCTCCTGTTCATTGCTGCATATTATGCCTCCATCTTTACATAGGTTCTTAGGAGCCATACTCAGTCCCCAGGTTTGCAGAGCAAGCCCTTCACCCACTGAGCCACCACCTCCACTTTGAGAAGGTCCATCTGTGTATCCCTGGCTAGTTTGGAGCTCACTATACAGATCAGGCTTGCCTTGGACATATGGTCCTCCTGTCTCTGTACCCCCTCCTGTCCAAGTCTGAAGGCGCGTGACACTGCTCCTGGGACAGGTACTAATTTTAATACTTACTTGGCCAAGATGTAATTGGGAAGCAATTCAAGGTGCCATTTAAGAACACTTGCTCCTTTCTCTTCCAGCCACCCAATTAACACAGTGGCAGATACTGTGTACTCAGTGAGGACCAGCCCACACACCACTTGTTCAGGACTTGGTAATGGAGTAAACCAGTCATTATGTTCTTGGACAACCTGGCGGCTTGGCCTTTCCTGCCATTCTTATTACATATACATGTGGTTGGGACAGTGGGCGGGCTAGAGGGCTCCTCGAGGCCTTGGCAGTGACTTTTCCATCTGCTGATTTTAGCCATCAACCCCTTGGGACTTTGGGGGAGTCAGACACTGAATCTGAACCCCAAGTCACTTACTGCCAAGCATGGATTTCCCTCACTCCCCCTTACAGGACCACATAGCTTCTTTCTGGTGCCAACACTGGAGATTAAGAGAGCTGGAGTTGACAGGCTGGCCATGGACTCCATCTCCCTGGTGGAGGGATTCGCAGACACACAGTGGGGAAGATGCAGGCTCCATGGTCCACAGTGGGTCTATGCAGCTGGGAGCCTGACTTGGTTTGGTGTGAGATCTGCTGGCTGAGTCATGTTTGTGTGTACATGTATGATGTGTAAAGTATATTTCACATGTGCTCTGCTTTTTTTAATCTTTGAAGGACTTTTATGAAGAATTTATCGCCGGGCGGTGGTGGCTCACACCTTTAATCCCAGCACTCGGGAGGCAGAGGCAGGCGGATCTCTGTGAGTTCGAGACCACCCTGGTCTCCAGAGCGAGTGCCAGGATAGACTCCAAAGATAACACAGAGAAACCCTGTCTCAAAAAAACCAAAAAAAAAAAAAAAAAAAA